AAAAGGGTTAACAAAAATACGTTTCGGGACGAACATAAATGTTCTTACATATGAATATGAGTGAAATTATGAAAAACCAAGATTATGAAGCAAGCTTACCCCCGATTTTGAGAATTTTAACTAGAAAGACCGGAGAAAATCTTCATCATCATCATCATCAGCAGCATTCTCGGCATCAATGTGTTGGTCATCATTGTTCCCATCACCTACTGGATTGGCTGGAGGTACAGGAGGATCGCCATAGCGATTGATGTTAAGGTGTTGCATAAAGACTCTCATTTGTTCTTCCAAGTTATATATTCATTCATCCTTCTTAACAAGTAAATTATTCAGACGATGCACTTCTTGGGTCAATTGCTCGTCTGGTCGTGACCTCCTTCGACCAGTCCCAGTGGATGATGAACTTCCAGGACTATTCGGCATGTACATCCTTGATAATGATCCCATCCCAAATATTTTCCCTTTTCTCGCCCCACCCGTTGCCTCCATCCATAATGCCATATTATCAACTGGTGACCGGAACTCAGGACAATCATCACTACCACTAGCACTGCTCATTAAAAGTTCATCATATTTTTCCTACATTAACAATGTAGATGAAAATAAAATCACTATATATATATATATCTACCAAAAATATTGAAAGCATTCACAATTTTCATTATGGTTTACATATAAGCCAAAGTATAACCTTACATACCTTAACAGCTTTTGCTCGATCGCCAGTCCATGTCTTATCTTTCTTTTGAAATGTGCATTCAAATGTAGCTGCAAATGTCGGTTCCGTCCCCAATTCATGTGCCTACAAAATGTAAACATGAGTAATTGAATTAAATTAACTTTTAACTCATTTAACAGACTTACCATTCGTTTGCGATGCTCCGCAATGTTGATAGAGCCCCCAGCATATGTGGCTGACCCATCACTAGAACTAGAAGATCGATTCTTCTTATTCTGCTCACAGAGTTGCCGACTCTGTTCAGATGCCCAAAATGTGTTAATTGCCTCCCAATTGTCAGCTGTAAAGAAAGACGGCTTCGCTTGCTTGCTCTTCGCTCTATTCATGACATTTCGCATAAAATCACTTATTTTCTTATCGAAAATTCTTCTCACTTCATTGTCTTCCGCTTCCTCCCACTTGAACTTCCGCTGCAATGAATAAAAACACAAATTGAAAATTATTATGATAATTACATATCCATAACCATGCACCAGACAAATATAGACAGATTTTGTAAAGTTCATGTCGGGGAAAATATCTGATCCTTTAGGTATCGAAAACTACAGAGTTGTTCTGTTCCCTTTACATCATTCTTGACCATCAATATACTACACCACACTTAATTGGTGAGAAAATAAGATATGTAAAACTTACCTTGAACTCATTCCACCACATTTCTTTCACTTCTTGTGGAACATTTCTGTAAGTAATATACTCTCTCATCCAAAAGTTTCTTACTATTTTGTTCAATTCCCTCACAACAGACGGAGCATCCGTGAATCTGCATTCATATGAATATTGTGCAATATGGACAATTCAATTGACATCAATATCTAAAGCCCTAAATATTACATATACTAAAATAAAAATGAAGTACTTACGAATCTCCAAATGGGCATATGAAGAATCGGTTATCTTCTTGACCTATGTTTCCGTCAATATTCGATTGTTCCGCCGAATAATGGGGTGGAACGGAAGGAGAGGGAACTAAAGGAAATTGAACTGGAGAATGTTCAGTTCGCATGTGGCCAAGTCCCGTAACATGTTGTTGAGTGTTGGAGGAAGGGCCAACGTGTCCATATTGTGACGGACCATACTGTGGTTGAGGGTTAGATGCCGGGACAGGGGAAGAGGAAAGGGACGGGGACGAGGACAACGAAGAGCCTTGTCTTCTAGGCATGTGACCTCCACGTTTAAACTGACAAGTAGGAAGGTTATGCGAATATGTAAAGAACTATTGACACGTATTACGAACACATAATGATGTACATGACGAAGCTTACCATTTTGATGAAAAGACTGAGAAAATGTTTCCTTCAAATGAGCCAATGTCGAGTGTTTATGACGTGCAATTTCCTACAAACAAATATACTATGAATCTCATTCATTTTGATATGAAACATCAATGTATGAGCACGATTTGGGTGGCTACAGGTATTAAACATCACTATATGAATCGCATTCATTTTGATTAAATTTTTTTTGACAACGTACAAAAATTTAAATTTCACTGAAAGTGGGTGGCCACAGGTATTCTGAGTCATTCTGTACAGTTTTGTAAGAAAAAAATTATTATTATTGCAAAAAAAAATTTTGGGCCCTAAAAAAAATTTCACTAAAAGTTAGTGGCCACAAATATTCTAAGACATATTGTAAAGTTTTGAAATTTTAAAATTTTAAGCATTTTTAAATTATTATTTTTTAATATAAATTTTTTTCGTGAAATAAAAAAATTTGTCCATACTAAAATTGGTTGGCCACAGGTAGTCTAAGCTATTAGGTAAAGTTTCCAAAATTTTTGTCCTTATTTATTTTAATAATTTTTAGGGCACGTTAAAAAAATTAAATATAACTAAAAGTGGGTGGCCACAGGTATTATAAGTCATTCCGTGAAGTTTTGAAAATTTTTAAATTCTAATTTTTTTTGGCCATCTAAAGAAATTTACATTTCACTGCAAGTTGATGGCCAAATGTTTTCTAGGCAATTCTGTGCAGTATTGAAATTTTATATTTTTTTAATTTTTTTTCACCCAAAAAAAATAAAAATTTCCCTCACAATGGGTGACCACATTTATGTTAAGCCATTTTATAAGGTTATGGAAATTTTTAATTTTTTAATATTTTTTCCCCGGAACGTTAAAAAATCTAAATTTCATTGAAAATGGGTGGTCACTATTAATTTTTGCCATTTTGTGATATTCTGAAATTTTTGTTTTTTAAAAAGTTTAAAAAACTTTTACGGTCAAATTTCATATTTGTTGCCAACATATACCATTGTTTTAATTTTCCGTAATTTTCCTTGATTTTTTATAGAATTGTTCAATTTTCAAGCATTTTCTGTGAAAACGCTTAATCAATCAACTTATCGTCATTTAACGCTTAATCATCCACATAATAGACAAATTAACCAGTCGACCATCGATCAAAGCCACATGCAATCCTGAAATCGACCAGTAACTTAGCCAACGAAAAGTGATCCTAAATAATCCTTAAACAAGTCCGACTAATTACCTAATTATACTAACTAGGGTTTAGAGAGTTGCTTACTTGGTTCAAGGACAATAAAAATCGGCCGATAGAACAGTGGCGGTCCCGGCGCAAGCGTGAGCTCAAATGGTGACTAGTCGGCCGTGTGCTCGGCCACGACCGGGAGAACGACAATGAGCTCGCGGTGATGGCGTCGGGGCGGCGACGGTGTCGGCGGCGGCAACGGCGTGGGGCGGCGACGGCGTCGGCGACGGGCCGACCGGCCACGCCTCGGGCGGCAACCCGGGAGGCGGGTGGCGGGTTGGTCGGTGGCGGCACGGCGGCGCGGCGGCCTCAGGCGGTGCGACAGTGGACGACGGCATCGACGGCGGCCGGCCGGCTCTGGCGGGCGGCGGGCGACGGCGGCGAGGCCGGGCGGCGACGGCGGGCCGGGTCGCTGGGACACGACCGACGGGGGCGGGCGACGAGGCGAGCTAAGGGGCGACCGGCGGGGGGGCGGGCGACGGGTCGGCAGGGTGGTGGCGAGGCGGGGGCGGGCGACGAGGCGGGGCGAGGGCGCGATGAGGCGAGGGGTGGTCGGCGAGGCGGGGCGAGGCGCGACCGGCGGGGGCGGGCAACGGGCGGGGGGGGGTGTCATGGGCGGGCTGGGGCGACCGGCGATGGGCGGGGGCTGCAGGCGACCGGCGACGGGCGGGGGGGCCTGCAGGCCGACTGGCGACGAGCGTCTACGGCTGGGCAGCGACGGCGACGGCTGCAACGGCGACGGGCGGGGGGAATGCGCAAATCGGGCGGGGGGCGGCGTCGGGGAAGGGGGAGGGGTAATAACATGTAAATTTGCGACGGACTTGCTCGGTCCGTCGCAAATTTTCCACCGACAAAAATTCGCGACGGAAAAATTAATCCGTCGCAAATTTGCGACGGATTAATTTTTCCATCGCAAATTTGAACGGCAAAATTTCCCTCGCAAATTTTGCGACGGACTATGATTTCCATCGCAAAATTTGCGACGGAAGGTTGAGTCAGTCGCAAAATTTGCGACGGACAGCTTAGTCCGTCACAAATTTGCAACCGATTAATTTTCCCGTCGCAAATTTGCGACGGATTAATTTTTCCGTCGCAAATTTAAACGGCAAAATTTTGACGGCAAATTTGCGACGGAAATCATAGTCCGTCGCAAAATTTACGACAGACGGCTGAGTCCGTCGCAAATTTTGCGACGGAAATCTTAGTCCGTCGCAAATTTACAATGGATTTTTTTTACGCCGAAAATTTCGAGCGGTAAAAATCTTACCGCAAAATCAACTTTCCATCGCAAATTTGCAACGGACTTTATATATCGGTCGCAAATTTTGCGATCGACAAAAAATTTCCAGCAGAAATAAAAATTCGTCGCAAATTTGCGACGTAAAAAAAATTCCGTTGCAAATTTGCGACGGATTAAATTATCCGTATACAATTTCGAACGGTACAAATTCTCTCGCAAAATTTGCGACGGACAGCTTGAGTCCAGCGCAAATATGCACATACTACATGAACGTTGTAAATTTGTGAATTTTTTTTTTCGGTCAAAAATTTAGCATCTCATTTATTTGGGTCCTAAATTTGCTACATCTTTTTTTCAATCCAAAATTTAGGCATCTCAAATGTTGCAATAGAAATTAGAATATCGGAAATGTTAGGGCACGTTAATAATATTAGACTTGTCGGCATTTAGGGACAAAATTTCGAACGATCAATTAAAATAAAAAGAATAATCGACAATAACAATAATAAAAAAGTACAATAACAATAATAACAAGAACAATAATGATAACAACCAAAATAGCACCTGTAGCATTAATAATTACACATCTGTAGTGTTTTGTGACAAAAATTTTAATCTTCGTCTTCGTCTTCGTCTTCGTCTTCGTCCTCGTCCTCGTCCTCGTCCTCGTCCTCGTCCTCGTCTTCGTCATCTGTCTAAAAATCAGATTCTGAACATTCTTGTACATTTAACTCGCAAATTTCAGTTGGCTCCACATCTATCATTGCTCCACACGGATCTCGTAAAGTTGGTATGTTATATTTCTCAATTTCAACCGTGTTAGACACTTCCTCCTGTTGGTAAGCTCTATCCTTCCAGTGCTAGACACTTCCTCCTGTTGCTACGAAATTAGCAACGATCCAAATCCAATGGAAAATAGAATATCGCAAATGTCATCGCACGAATAATATTTGACTTGTCGTCATTTAGCGACAAATTTTCCGACATTCAATTAAATTAATAAGAATAATCGACAACAATAATAATAGCAACAACAATAATGAAAATAGCAATAACAATAATAACAAGAACAATAATAATAATTATGACAACCAAAATAACACTTGTCGCAATAATAATTTAACTAAAAGTGTTTTGTCACAACAATTTTAATCTTCATTTTCGTCTTCGTTTTCGTCTTCGTCTTCGTCCTCGTCTTCGTCTTCGTCTTCGTCCTCGTCTTGATCTTCATCTTCATCTTCATAATCTGTCTCAAAATCAGATTCTGAACCATCTTGTACATTTAATTCGCAAATTTTAGTTGGATCCACATCTATCATTGCTCCACATGGATCTCGTAAAGTTGGAATGTTATATTCCTCAGTTTCAACCGTGTTACAAACTTCCTCTTGTTGATAGGCTCTATCCTTCTAGTGTTCCTCGATTTTCCTCCGTGCTTTGATTTTACATACAGCCCACCAATCAGCTTTGTCACGTTTCAAACTAGGATATGATCCATAAATACTTGAATTGCTTATTGTGCCAAGACAAATGGTTCATATTTCATATACCTTTTCTTGTGATTTATTTCAACCAAATTAAACTTTGTATGCACCTTCATTCCTTTGACGGGGTCGAACCACTTGCACTTAAATAATACAACCCGCATCATTAAAGGTCCAAGGTACTCTATCTCTATGATTTCATCCAACAAGCCATAAAAATCATCTTTCGAACTATCACCATTGGATGACCGAACAGACACACCACTATTCATTGTGGATTTTCCCATTCCATATTCTTGAGTATGAAAATTATATCCATTTATGAAATATGCTGGCCAACTTCGAACTCTTAACTATGGACCCCATGATAGATAATGTAGCAATCCTTGCCCTCCAATTTCATCATAATTACTGTGAACCTAAGGTTACACATGCAAAGTTAATAATATATATTTAACTAAATGATGTATATAATTTTAATAACTTGGTTTTGATCCATAGGCAACTTACATATGTACCATGCTGCAAATTGTTCATCGCACAAACGGTCAAACTCATTTGGTTGTAGTCCAAACATTGAAGTTTGGAAAATCCTAATATTAAAAACATATCATTATTAGCAAATATTTGACACGCAAAACATATATTTACAAATTTACACTTACTTGAAGTATGGCTCGACTTCTGGACAGTTCAGTAAAATATAAGTATGGGCTGCATGAAGTTCTTCGCCTGAAAGGTAACGAAACTGACATGCGCCGCTTGGTCGACCCAGATAATTGAAAATAGAGAATGTTGTGCAATTTGGATCAATGGGGCCCTCATCATTTCTGCCTGCTCTCCGCCTCTTGCATTGAACGTGCGGCTCAAATAGTATGATGCAAATGTCGTCACTTCTTCCACAATATATGCATTACAAATTGAAGCTTCAACATGTGCCTTATTCTTCACTTTTTTCTTCAAATGATATAAGAATCTAGTTGAAATAGAAAGAAGCTTATCGGGACATATTATATGATAAACTCATTTGAACTGTATTTTAAAGAAAACATTACCTCTCAAATGGATACATCCATCGAAATTGGAGGGGACCTGCAACTTTGGCCTCATAAGGCAAGTGAACTAAGAGATGCTCCATCGAATCAAAAAACGCTGGAGGAAATATCCTTTCTAAGTTGCAAAGAATAATTGGAATATCTCTCTCTAGTTTTTCCATGTGCGATACTTTTAACACAGTCGAGCAAATATCATGGAGGAAATTGCTTAATTCTGTAATGGCGCCCCATACAAAGTTCGGTAAAACTTCCTTCAAAGCTATTGGAATTAGTCTTTCCATCAGGATGTGACAATCATGACTCTTCAAACCTGTCAACTTGCATTCCTTCAAATCAACACATCTCCCGAGGTTCGAAGCATATCCATCAGGAAACCGCACAGATTTCAACCATTGACAAACAACTCGCCTCTATTCCTTATCCAATGTATAAACTGCTTTCGGTTTTGGTCCCCTGCTGCTTGCATCCACAGCTAGTATTGGCCGATCGCAAATATCTCTCATATCTTTTCTTGCGTTCAAGTTGTCTTTTATTTTTCCGGCGACATCCATCACAGTATTTATGACATTGTCGAAAATATTCTTTTCTATGTGCATGACGTCAAGATTATGATGAATAAGATGGGCCTTCCAATATGGTAGATCCCAAAATATACTGCATTTTGTCCACTTATGTGTACTTCCGTACTCAAAAGTCGTGCCGTGCGGGTTTTCAACAACAGTTGGAAAGTCCTGCACACGCTCCCAAATTTGATCGCCAGTCAACCTCAATGGTGGACGCGTTCTTTCAGTCCTATTCTTGCTGAACTCTTTCTTATTCCTTCTGAAAGGATGACTTGGCGGTAAAAATTGTCTGTGACAGTCAAAATAGGTAGGCTTCTTTCCATGTTTTAATCTAAATGACTTTGTCCTCTCCAAACATATCGGACATCCTAAGATCCCAGCTGTACTCCATCCAGATAACATTCCGTAAGCTGGAAAGTCATTTATCGTCCAAAGAAGGGTAGCATTCATAACAAATATTTGATCGGTAGAAACGTCATACGTAGGGACACCTTCAACCCATAGCCGTTGTAACTCCTCAATCAATGGTTGCATATAATCATCTATCAACTTTTTCGGATTTTGCGGCCCTGTCACGATCAATGTCAAAAACATATAAGGTGTCTTCATGCACATACCAGGTGAAAGATTGTACGGCGTTAAGATAACTGGCCAGCATGAATAACTTTTTCCTGTTCTCCCAAATGGATCAAATCCATCGGCACAGAGACCTAACCTGATGTTCCGAGGCTCCATTGCAAACTCAGGGTATGTTCTATCAAAATGTTGCCATGCCTCTACATCCGAAGGATGACACATTAGACCCTCTTCTGTTTCATGATTTGCATGCCAAGTCATGTGTTCAAGCAAGGGCTTTAGACGCATAAAGCCTTTGCAATCTGGGGATTAAGGGCAGATAAAACATTTGCTTGCATGGTTTACGCTTCTGATTACGACCCGGCCTCCTGTTAATCTTGTACCTAGGTTGGCTACAGAATTTGCAAGATTCTGCATTTTCATCATCTCTCCAATATATCATACAACCCCTACTACATACATCAATCCTTACAACCGGAAGACCTAAGTTATCCACTAGCTTTTTCATATCATAAAAATCACTTGGCATGTTGTTATCACGAGGCAATGATTCCCGCATTACTTCAACAAAAGAGTTGAAGCAATCCGCAGACACATTATGCTCTGCCTTGATATTTAATAGTCGGGCTGTCACCGATAACTTAGTGTGGTCCTCACAACCTGTCTATAGAGGTTCATCTGCTGCTTTCAAGACATCCCAGAACTGATTAGATTGAAAAGTTTCATTATACACATTCTCCTCAAAACCCGTTACTCCTATATCTTCCAATTGTGAAGCATGACTAGTACCACCTTGTTCACGTGTAGGAGTAAAACTAGTACTTGCATGATTTGCTTCTGTGACAAAATTATAACTAGCTGCATCAATCACCATCCTCTCGTATGGGTTCAATTGCTCATAATAGCCACATTCTTTCCTAACTGAAAATTGGTCACTTCTTCCATATCCTTCATCAGATATAAATGGTTCACCATGGGAAGTCCAATTATAATAGTTCGGAGTAAACCTAAATCTAATAAGGTGTTCTCTAACTTGATCACACACAAGAAATTTACCATTACCGCACTTTTTACACGGACACCTTAACTTATTTCCATCCATAAACTCATATTTACTACTAGCAAAGTCTAAGAATAGTTCCAACCCAGTACGAAACTCATCTGTCAATCCTTGACGTTCAGGTAAGTTCTTATTATACATCCAAGCCCTTTCCCTTTGCATTGTGTCTGTATTAAAATAAAAAATTCTGGTAAAATATTTAAAATATCATCTCTATTGTTCTTAATTAAAACCATAAAATTTTGGAAATTATAATTTTTGTTATTCACGGAACAATTAATATCAAATTGCAAAAATAGAAAAAAACTACAATGTAAAGAAGACTTACCAGGTGCTATTTGACTGAAATATTTGTAGGAAAAAGTGATCAATTTGATAAGAATTGCAACGTCCACTTGGATTGCGAGACCTTCAATTAGGCACATACCCAAAAAAAAATAATCACTTAAGAATCATTTTTTAATAATTTTTAATGTGCGATGGAAACGGAATGTATCCGTCGCAAATTTGCGACGGAATTAGTTTTGCGTCGCAAATTTGCGACGGATACTCAACTCCGTCGCAAATTTTGCGACGGAATTTTCATTTATTCGTCGGAAATTTGCGACGGAATCAGGCTTCCGTCGCAAATTTGTGACGGATACTACGTTCCGTCGCAAATTTGCGACGGATACTACGTTCCGTCGCAAATTTGCGACGGATACTCAAATCCGTCGCAAATTTTGCGACGGAATTTTCATTTATTCGTCGCAAATTTGCGACGGAATCAGGTATCCGTCGCAAATTTGCGACGGCACATAGTATCCGTCACAAATTTGCAACAGAATTTTCATTTATTCGTCGCAAATTTGCGTCGGAAACTATTTCCGTCGCAAAACGGCGTGGCCGTTCGGCCACATCCAAAGGCCGGCGAGGTGTCGCCAGTCGTTAAACCGGTGATGCAGATACAAAAAAAAACAAACATAAACATATATTAAAAAAACGGAAATTACAATGCAACGACGAATAGTCACGAAGCTAGCTATGACACTTACTGGTACAAAAGCTTCACCGAGATTAATATGTGCCTGCGCGGATTTTGCTGATTTCAGACAAACGAAAGAGGGAGAAAAACGAGAGAGAGCGAGAGAGAGCGAGAGAGAGAGATAGGGTTGGAAAATCACGGGCTGATAAACTACGAATTTGCGACGGACACAGTTTTTGTCGCAAATTTGCGACGGACTTACAATGCCGTCGCAAATTTGCGACGGTTTTATTTTCCGTCAGAAATTTACGACGAACGTTTTTCCGTCGCAAATTTGCGACGGAATTTGCAATGGATTGTATTTGCGACGGAAAATAAAACCGTCGCAAAATCCGTCGCAAATTTGCGACGGAAGTAAACTGTCGCAAATTTGCGACGGAAAATACAATCCGTCGCAAATTCCGTCGCAAATTTGCGACGGCAAAACGTTCGTCGCAAATTTCCGTCGCAAATTTCGTGTTTTTTTGTAGTGTCTGTATTTGTATAAAGAGTAAGACATAACCTGAGCACTAGGGATGACAACTTAACAAGGGCATTGCTCACGTTATAGCCTCCTGACTCCTGAGAAAGAAGGCCCATTGAATTCCAACCCACCAAATCTCACGTAATAAATAGTTTATTATTCATAGTCAAACCTTACCAATAGAGTAATAGGGACTAAGCAGATATTTTAAAGATCAAGAAGATGATGCCTTCCCCGCCAAAAACCCAAACGATTATATATATTAGTCACCCATATACACACCCAACCCAATCGTCTGCTCCATCTTTCTTGCCGAGAGAGAGAGAGAGAGAGAGTAATGTCATCCAGTACGGAGAAAACGTACTTGGAAATGTTGGGCCTTTGCTGTGCCACGGAAGTTGCATTGGTCGAGAAGATCTTGAGGCAGCTCGGCGGAGTTGATGACATCTCGATCATCATCCCGACCAAAACTGTCATCGTCCTGTTGGAATAAATTTGAAGGTGAAACACTCTCACTCTCTCACTCCATACAATCTCAGGGAGGAGAAGGAGATGCACAGACTTATCTGTTTTCTTTATTTCACTCTTATCGAAGACAATAACAAGACTCGCCTTTTATAGGCTTGATACATGACTCTTAAACTTACTATTAAATGACTCATAAATGTACTCTACCATTCCAAGGATATAGGTTCCTAGGAATTTATACAACATTAACTAGATCTAGAAACACGAACAGTCAAGACATAGAAATACGAATAGACTTTTTGAAACAACACTACAATAAAGACTCTATTTAACTCATACACCAAACAATCATCGACATCAATTTTGGAATATCAACAACTAGTTAACCGATTAACAATCGACAACTTCAACCTTTAATTGACAATTCGGTAGTTGATCGATAGTGTCAACATCGACAGCATTTATGAATTTGGTTTAATTTCTAACACATCCTCAATGACCCTCTAGTCGTTTCTCAGTCCAAACTCCGTATGAATATGATCTATCACAGCTGGTTT